TGTCGGCGGTGATGTCGGTCCGGTCATAGCGGCAGCGCCGGTTACGAGAGATCAACAAGCCGAAGTGGTGGGGAGACGGAGTCCCGAGGCCGCCACTACTGTCTCGAGCGGCCCCTCGACCTCCCGACTGATCCGTACTTGTTCTCGGACTGAAGAGAAGGGGAAAGGCGTCATGGTCGACGACTACGAGTCCGAGTCCGACCTTGATCCTGACGACGTTAGGATGTTCGAGGAGGGCTTCACCCGAACCGTGGTAACGACGGGGGGTCCTTCTCGGATACTTGAGATTCCGTCGGACCTCAACCTTTTGCAAGACACGGTGGATTTTGTGTCGCAATTTGATCTCTTGTGCTCGAGCGCGGAGAGTGGAGCTCTTCAGGACGTCAGCAACGTCGAACTTTCACGGGGGGTGGCCGCGATGGGCCTAAGGGTGAGTTTCTTTCTGCATGTTTCCCTTTGTTCGTTGTTGTGTTTTTTTTTGTTTAATTTTGGCCCTTATCGACTATCTCCCTCTCTTTGTTTTCAGTCTTATATCCTGGAGGTCGAGAGTGCTCGCAGGGCGGAGACTCGGACCAAGATCTTTCTGACGATGCTTGAGAAGTATAGGCGGTATCGCAACAGGTGCTGTGAGATGCATGAGCGGCTCAGGGCGGGCACTGACACCCGATCCCTCGGAGAGGAGTTGGAAAAGCGGGACCAGGAACTGATGCAGTCCATCCGCAAGTGTAGTGAGCTCGAAGAGCTGCTTCGTACCAAGGACGAAGAACTCGAGTTGGGAAAAGGGGTTGCTGCCGAATGCGAGCATCTTCAGGCGAAGGTGTCATCATTACAAGCCGAACTGGATCAGAGTGCTGCCAGAGTTGAAATTCTGAGTGCGAAATGGATGGAGAAGTTATCCGAGCTGGGGAGAAAAGTAGCCGAATTGGAGAATGTCGAGAATGCTCGAACGCCTGCTTTGGCAAGGGTGGCGGCATTAGAGGACACTATCTACGTCCTTCAATCTGAGCAGGAGTCCGAGAGGGCAACGGCCACGCTGAGGGAGGCGCGGCTCGAGGAGCGCATTGGCGAGATCGACCGGGAGGGGATCTGTTCAAAGACTATGATATACCATTTTGTATTATCCTAAGAAAGCCAATGTGGTGGCCTAAGCCTTGAGTAGAAAGGCGATGAGTATGGGTAGCCTTGCATATATTCCTTTTGGTGAGAGAGCGCTTGCATCAGATGTTCAGGGTTTGGCCGATCAGTTCGTGAGGTTAGATGTTTTAGAGCCTAGACGAGTTCTAGCTTGCGTGGTTTCTCGGTCTTTTTTGTATGATNCTGTCTCTGCCACCGTTCCTTGCCACTTGCATGAGCTTTGGGTTCATGCCGAGGCCCAGCGGGACATCTACAAGGGTTTGCGGGAGGCGGGCAATGTTTCTGAGACCGCTTATGAGGAAGCCCGGGCGAAGGCACGAAAGGCTAGCGTCAATTGCAGCTACGACCCTGCGACGCCGGAGGCTGGCAAGGATGCCGATGTTGAGGAGGAGTTTCCTGAAGACAATGACGAGGAGGATGGTGCTGAGTGAAAAATTGCTGCTACTCCTGTATTCTTTTTTTTTATTTTTCTTTTTCTGTTTCGGGCCCGTTTTGGTCGTTTGTAAGGTGCGGCTTCCAAGCATGTATATATAAATAAAGCAGTTGTTTCGCCTTTGTATGTCCCTTGATTTTCTTTCCCTTCCCCTTGTTTGTTACATATTTTCGTTTTGGCGTAGATCTTTGGATTTTTATGTGACGAGTCCCTGATTTTTTATCCTAGAATCCGACCTTGACAGGATAGAGTAGGGTCTCATCGCGTGAGTCCGAACGGAGCCGTTCTAGACTCATGTTCGGACGAGGTTGGCTCCTAGTTTGCCGATGGCCGTTGGCCATAAGGGTGCTATTTCAAGCTAAGGCTGAAATGTTGACCCATCGGAATTCGAGCGAGATGGAATTACTCTTTCAGCGATGGCCTTTGGCCATAGGAGTGTCATTTCGAGCTAAGGTCGAAATGTTAACCCTTTATACTTTGAGCGGGGTCGAACCTTTCTTTTGACGATAGCCTTTGGCCGTAGGGCTGTTATTTCGAACTAAGCTCGAGATGTTAGCCCATTACAATTCGAGCGAGATCGAATTCTTCAATTAGCGACGGCCGTTGGCCGTAGGGGCGTTATTTCGAGCTGAGGTCGAAATGTTAACCCAGTGCAATTCGAGCAAGGTCGAATTCTTCGATTGGCGACGGCCTTTGGCCGTAGGGGCGTTATTTCGAGCTGAGGTCGAAATGTTAACCTAGTACAATTCGAGCGAGGTCGAATTCTTCGATTGGCAACGACCTTTGGCCGTCGGGGTATTATTTCAAGCTGAGGTCGAAATGTTAACCCAGTACAATTCGAGCGAGGTTGAATTCTTTGATTGGCGACGACCTTTGGCCATAGGGGTGTTATTTCGAGTTGAGGTCAAAATGTTAACCCAGTACTCGAGCGAGGTCAAATTCTTCGATTGGCGACGGCCTTTGGCCGTAGGGGTGTTATTTCGAGGTGAGGTCGAAATGTTAACCTAGTACAATTCGAGCGAGGTCGAATTCTTTGATTGGCGACGACCTTTGGTCGTAGGGGTGTTATTTCGAGCTGAGGTCGAAATGTTAACCCATTATCTTATTGTCGTGGATTTTTGGAGCTTTACAGGTTGCCGTACTGTTTATATATGCATCGGGTGGTCCCAGCGTGCTCGGTTTTGTTTTTATGGGAGGATGTCAGGTGTTCCCTGGGTGAGTCCCCGTTTTGCTTAACTTCGTTGCATTGAAGAACATTATGCATTTTCTGGGTGAGTCCTAGTTTTGCTTAACTTCGCTTGCATTGGAGAATACTCTGGTGGAGAGTACGAAATGTTGCTTTATTTCATTCACCGGAGAATGCTGTACATGCTCGTTTCATACATATATTGGAGGAGTTTTCATGTATCTGGTCCCTTCATCGTTCCGCCTGGAGAAGTAGTCGGTGGGCTGGACGGTGAACCATACTTGAGTTTTGAGACGTCATGTTCGTTGCCTCGCCAAAAGGGTATGACTCGAGGGGCGTCCTCTTTCGGAAGTCGAAGTATTTGATGTGGGTGATATTCCAATCGTTTTGTAGTAGTTTTCCTTCCATTATTTCTAGGTTGAATGCTACTTTGCTTGCTTGCCCGCGCGAGTGCTTGCATTCACCTATTTGAACCGATAAAGGAGTGAAGATAAACCAGAATGAAATTTTCTGTTACCTCGGCCTGACGAGTCGATGAAAGAAAAATTGACGTTGTAGTGTTACTCGCTCCGCCTAGTGCTCGGATGGTGTTTTCAGATTTGGCGGCCGTGTTCGGCTCCGTGTTACCAGCGCCTAGGTTCCGCTAGGGTTGGATCCGCCTCATTCGCTGATGGGATAAAATCGAGTCCCGGCCCGATCTCGTCCGATTTATGCCAGTAACAAGAGAAACATGTCATACTTTGTTCATAGACCATCTAGTGAGTGTGGGAATGTGAAAATAGGGTAGGGTGTGCCTTTTCTTTCAGAAGACCACGCAGCAAGTTGCTGTCCCTTCACGAGGGATGAAGTACGGACCCATATGTAGGGTGAAAATAGGGTTGTGGTTACGTTAGGTGATCGGGATCCTATTTTGAACGTGCGTTCGTCGTGTCAAACCTACTGTTACGAGCAAGAAGTGGGTTTTGCATAGATATTGGTTATAACTTCTACTTTAGCCTATATTGGTGCGGTTGTCTCGAAGGCTTACCTACCGCTCTTTCGAGTGGGTGGTAGCGCCGAGAAGGTGAGGCCATGACAGCCTGGTAGCGATATTCCGCTGATTCTGGATCTAATGGAAACTAACAAATTTGGCTAAGAAATCCCCACAGACGGCGCCAAATTGTTTGACCAAAAAGTATTAAACTTTTTGTTAAACTAATTAATGAATGGAATAGAGGATAAATCTTAGCCAAAAGTAATTAACTCTAGATCGCAGCATATTGAGTATAAAAATCGGAAGAGAATAAACTAATTTAATATTTCTTGAGAATCTTACATTGAATGAGAACGATAAGCTTACATTCGTGACAGACTTGGGTTACAGTGGAAGGAAGATAAAAGAATAAAAGGAAGTTGCAGATAACTGAGGAATCTTCTCCCTTTGGCTTCGTAATATCGCTCTTCTTAGTCCTAGCCAGTTCCCCCCTTTTACAGTTGCTTCTCTTCCCTTTATATATCAGCCATGTTTCCTTTTATCCAACGGTCTTTGACTAGTCTCCTTTGCCGCGACAGCCCTTTGTTACTTATCCAAGACCGTACGCGTATCCCGCGATGTCAGCTTTTTGACGGACTGACCTCGACAGGGACCGTGGGGCCCGTCGCCATTACGCCTCGTGGCCATGGCCAAGACGGGGTCGAACTTGTTTATCGCCTCCAGCTATGAGGGTCAGATTTCGACCCATACAGATACATTGCTATATCCAACTAAAAGAGACTCATAAATAAAATTTGGGCAATAAAGTTTTAACATAGTCCGGAACGTTCGTTGTAATTCTTCGTCCTCGAATGCCTCATCTCCTTCATCCGGAAATTTGTTCAAGTCAAATTCATAACCAACCACATTCAAATCAAACTCGTGTCGGACACTTTTAATTGAATCTTCGACATTCAAACAATTTGGTTAAATCAAATTTATAATCAACCAGAATCTTTCATTATCATAGTAGCAGATTTTATTTATTTTTTTTAAATTTTGGTTTTAAGAATAGACTTTATAATACAATGGTGGAAGTTGTTAGTATGGTCGCAATGCAGGATCAGGACATACGTTGAAGTTGATTGAAGAGAAAATATATTTACCTCAAAACTTAAATTTGATTAAGAAATAAATTTTCTACGTACGTTTTGAAGTTAGTTGTACAAAATAAACGTAGTTATTCTTACCTATGTAATATGCAAAAAAGGGGGGAAAGAGGGAATACAAAAAAGAAAAAGAAAAAGGAAAATTCATTTCATGCATGATAATATTAAAGTGAACAATTTCATGCGACTGTCGCATTCAATTAAAATTTCATACAAAGTAGAACCACAGATTTTTTCTAAGATTACTTCCATCCCCGTCTCAGAACCCTACATCACCTGAAACCATTAAAAAAAAATTAAAAAAAAAAAAAACATGCATTAGTCAATATAATACGCAAGGAAATTTGCAAAATCTCTTACTCTTAATTTAATTAGCAAAAGTTAGTTCCATCCTGCTGAAAATGTTATTGTTACAATCTCTCTGCAATTCAGTTTATCCTTCAAAGAAGAAGAAATAATTAAAAAGAGGAGTAATTAAATTACTTGAGCTTTATTGCATGGATTGGGGACATCACAGTAACTCTCAAGTGTGATGAGAGCTTGATTGTCTAAATCCTTGGCGTAATTGTAGCAGTCGCAGTTACGGCCCAGCATAATACTGAATGTTGAGCAACATTGGTCGATGGAAGCAGTGTTCGACATGCAATTCTTTATCTTTTCTTTATCCTTTGCACAACAAGTTGCCACACCTTGGTTTCTACTACTGTTGTCTATGGCCTTGCTAGTTTCGGCCACCTCTTGCTGGTTGATTTCCTCCTGCTAGATTTTCGCATTAGATGATTTTGTGAGCTTAAAACTATATTTTATACACTTAATTTGTCGTTAATTAACTAGTAAAGAATATCATAGAAAGACTTATAAGTGACCTGATTAAAGAATATCATATCATTGTATATATAGAATTAACTAAACCTGTTTTATCATAAAGAATGATCAATAGAGAAGACAAAGAAGGGCAGAAAACTAACTTGCTTATGTTGACAAGGATTCTTGAAGCCACAATATTTCTGAAGAGCAGTAAAAGCTTCTTTATTGACATGCTCGGCCAAATGCCAGCAGATGCAATTTCGTGTAGGGTTAGTAGTGAAGGGGAAGAAAGTGCAGCATTCAGTTATGCAGCTGGTCGTTGGGTACTTGGCGCAATTGAACAACTTGAAGCAGCCAAATTTATCCTCTGGTACAGATAGTGTCCACGGCCACGTGGTGCTATTGGCGCCCTCTGCTAATTCCACTTGCTGCTTTACAGCTCCATAGCAAGTTTTTAGTGCCGAGGAAAGAAAACTGATGAGAGTTCATATTCCAACAAATTCAAACAACCAATGCATAAATTTTGGTGGACAAAGTTACTCGATAGCAATATCGGTGGAAGGTATTGACAGCCCTAACATCACGATTTCCACCTCAATGTATCGCTTAACCAATATTAATAGCCGGTTTTGACAAACTTCTAAAATTAGTTTATTTTGATAAGTATTTTTTCTCAAAAGTGTTGTTCTTAAAAATACTTTTGATAAGAACTAGTTTGTGTTTGACTAATTAATTTAAAAAAATACTTCTGAACAACAATTAATATTTGACCAAGCTTTTAAAAAATACTTTTAAGCGTATTTTTCTCAAAATTATTTTTCAAAAGAGTGCTTTTACAGCTTGTTTGGATGGTTGTTACCTATCGTATCGTATCGTATTGTTATTTTAAATACAATGTATGCTTTGATTGTTATTTAAATTCTATTGTATCGTATCGTTAAATCCGTCATTACGTAACGATGAAATGTGCCACTTTATGTAACGACCGATTTGGTGTGGTTGCGTCGTTTCCTTGTCTTTTTCTCCCAATCTCACCCTTCACTATTATTAAATAATTTTATTTTATCACTTACCCTACCTTTTTATATACCGTATCATATATATATATATATATATATATATATATATATATATATATATATATATATATATATATATATATATATATATATATATATATATATAGCAAGTTTATTCATCATATTACTGGTGCGTGATACCATGAAACGACGGCAAAACGACGCACTCCATCCAAATATTGTATTTATCAAACAATACAGTACAGTACAATACAATACATACGATACATTATGAAACGATACGTAACAACCATCCAAACAAGCTGTTAGGGAAAAATTATTTTTTCTGATTCTCCAAAACTGCTTCTTGTTCTTTTCAAAAGCACTTTTTTTTTCTTCCAAAAGTTTGGTCAAACACTTCAACTTTGAATTTTTTTTTTTTTTTCAGAAAAATACTTCTAAGTTTGGAGAAGTTTAGCCAAACAGGCTATAAATTAATATGGTTCGGTGAAAATACTATTTGCAAGAAAGCATTTCCGTCAACAAATTTACATCTGACTTGAACTTTTGAAAACTTTATATTCCAATTATAATTTTCTTTTTAACAATTAATAAAGGCAAGTTTTCCAACTACTGGAATATTAAAAGGTAAATCGATCTTTGTTTTATGGTGAGTGGGAAATGTAGTGAGTGAGTGCGTTGACTCGAGAAGAAAAATAATCAATCTTCTTCAGGAGTAAGGGAATGAACAACTTGGCGGTGAAGCTCATAACAGGAAACAATGAAATTTTACAACAAAATTAGGAGTAACTAATTATATCATGAGTTTACCTCTTCTGCCGTCGCCGGCCGGTGACCGCAAAGTACGATTGCGGCCACTGTAAAGGTGAGCACCACCAACCCTCTGCTCATTTTCATCTTCCTCTCTCTAAGCTTGTGTTAAAATGACTAGCTAGATAGTAGTACCCCACAATAATATAAACCTTTTAAGTGATGATTTTAATTTAATTTATAACAACTCGACACATATTATACAATTTCTATAACCATGCACAGAAATCGTGTCGAGGAAAAACAATTCTGATTAATTGAAAAATTCAATGATAGGAAAGGGCGCGTTTCCCTATTACAGATCTGGATATACCTATTATGGAGTTCGTAAGCCAAGGAAGTGCAGATAAGAGAATCCTTTAGCTGAGAAATTTTATTTTATGTCTACTTGCATTTTTTTACAAAAGTAGAGAAAGGCAATTCAAAATGCTGGGCATTGTGCTTATCGAGATACTTAAGTACTAAAGGATAAAAAAGCACACAAAATTATAACCGCTTGTTCATGTACTATACATATTTATAATGTTGGTATATGTGCTAAGGAAGAGGAAATCAGAAAAAAGAAATAGTAAGGAAATTGATGAATTATACTTCTGTATTTTTGTGATAAATTAAGAACTTTTGTATTCCTATTGAGAAAAGAAAGGTGTTTACATTTGAACTATCTTGTTGTGTCCGGAATCAAAATGTGGATCCATTTGACTTAAAATACACAAATAGGTGTTAAAAAAAAAGTGACATTTTTATGTATAACGCCACAATAGCTGGCGCTATATATTAAAGGTAACTGCACCGTTAAGTATAGCGCCAGGTATTGTGGCGCTATACTGCAAAAGCTGACACCGTGCAGGTATAGCACCATAATACCTGGCGCTATACCCCTTATTAAAATCGAACCGTCTCCTTCATCGTGCCCGCTCGTTTCCTTTCCTCCTCCATTATTTTACTCCCCCTTCTCTTCTTGGTCCCCCCATACCCGCTGCTGCCCACCTTCTTAAAAAAAAAAAAAAAATTTGGGTTCCTCCGGCACATAAAACTTGAAGCACGTAGGTCCCACATCTGTGTAGAGCTTCGTGGTATTGTTGATTCATACTTTCTGAGTCAAAATTTCGATATATTTGCTTTGCGAAAATTCTAAATTGAGGTATTTCGATTTATTTTAAGTTGAAACTTTTATAATAATGCATATTACTTGATTTGTATGTGTTCTATTTCGGTTTTTATTTTTCGAAACTAGCATGTTAAATTTATCCGGATTTAATTTTAGTGTTTTATAAAAAAATATAAATTTGTCAAATAAATTTGTCTGTTAATATCCTCATTTATATATATGTGTTTTCATGCCGTTTTGTGTTTTTTGCAATTAAATTTATTTGTTGTTTATATTTAGTTTAGATTATTTTTTAGTGTAGTAAAATCGAGACCTTTTAAGCGTAGTAAAACGTAGACCTTTTTAGCGTAGTAAAATTTAGAGCCTTGTAGCGTAGTAATGTGTAGTATTTTAGCTTAGAATTCCTTTTGTTTAAGTATCTTTTACTGGTAGTTGAAAATGGAAACTTTGTACAATTAAGTTAATAATTGTATCAACACACATAATTAGTAATTTGTACAATTAAATTATTAAAAAATATGAATTTAAATTATAAAAAAATACATAATTATTAATGATAGTTTGGTGCCACTGGGTCTCAAAATATATATATGTATATAATTTTTACAATTAAGTTATTAAAAAAATATGAATTTATAGTTGACAACATGGATGCGCCTATACATCCCGGCCCTCGGACGTTGGATCTATTAACCCTACAGCCCCAGCATAGATCCGAGTATATATGGGACGGACAGTTGCTTACGCAGACTTTCCGGGCCAGGAGAGTGGATCTATTGTGGGAGTTTTTGTCCTCATCGCGTTCTACATCCCCGTGTGGTCCATTACCTGGAGGAGATAGGCCTATATAGGATTATTAGCATTGGCCGGATACAGCTCGACTATGCTTTGATCACGGCCCTGATTGAGCGGTGGCGACCGGAGAAGCACACTTTCCATCTGCCCATCGGCGAGGCCACCATCACACTCCAGGACGCTGAGATTTTATATGGCCTGTCCGCTGATGGCTTGCCAGTTTTACTGCCTGCGGCAATGAGATATTATTCGCGGCAGGCATATTTGGATATACTACACATGCTCACGGGTTTCATGCCGGCGGGCGAGGAGGTAGCGTCTGGGGCCAATCGTATACAGTTAGTCCCCATTAGAGACCACCTGGTGCAGATCCACGATACTATCACCGACGAGTCAGCGGAGGTGGATGTACATCGATATACAAGGCTGCTGTTGCTCCTTCTATTTGGGGGGGTCTTGTTCCCGAACACTTCGGGGAACCTAGTGAGCCTCCGTTTTCTGCATCATATTACCCGGTTCGAGGATACAGCCAGCTACAGCTGGGGTGGTGCTGTCATCTCATATTTGTACAGGCAGATGTGCCGGGCTTGCATCGGCACACAAAGAGACATTTGTGGCTTTCTGCCGCTTCTACAGGTGACAACATATTCAAATAATATGTCCATTAGTTACGATTCTACCTAGTTATAGTTAATCTTATACTTTACGTCAACTTTGTCTGTTAGATTTGGGTCTGGGAGCGATTTCTGCAGTTTCGGCCACCTCTACCACAACTACCGGCTAATGTAGATATTCCGCATCTCCCTCTAGCACATAGGTGGGTTATGCGTCGTAGACTTGCACGAGAGTATGATCTCCATCATAATCTCCCCCTCTGCAGGGATGTGTTGGATTTGCTGGAGGACGCACAGGTGAATATCTAACTAAACTTACCAGTTATTGTTTAACTTTGTGTCGCGCATACTAACGGTTTGTGTTCTTATTTGATAGTTCATCTGGATGCCGTACAGCGATGAGGTGATAGGTACCCTGCCAGCGTATTGCACGTTTGGCCGACATACTTGGAGGGCTTCTGTCCTGCTCACATGCCTCGATATTGTCAAGCATCATGCCTCAGAGCGGGTATTTCGTCAGTTTGGCCTGCCGCAGCCTATACCGACTCTGCTTGCATGGCATGCTTTACATTATGAGAGGGATGATTGGTCCAGGGCGAACGACACATTTATGGCATGGCTTAACGAGCAATTGGGTATTTGGGACATGCCAGGGGAATTGACCCCACCTCCGCAACACTTTCCTATTGAACGTTATATGGCATGGTACCACACTGTTTCCCGACTTTTTATCGGGAACCCAGTTCATCGGGCACATGGTCGGTACGTCCCATATGCCGGGAGACACGAGGCCCTGGTATGTTTTCTGTTATTATTAATTATATACCTATAATTTAGTGCCAAATATGTAGTTTATATTTATTACTTTGTGCAGGCGATTGGATTGCATACCGTCTATCGTATGGGGCAGCAGATGCAGAGTTATGTCCACGATCCTGTGGTCATGGAGGAGTATAGACGTCGATTCATGGATGTGGCTGCCCAGACACTACAACGAGCACGATCGGATCATCGTTTGGCACACGAGGCTGATTATATTAACCCAACCACGTACCAGCAAGGTCGTGGTATCCCACGAGCTGGTGGTGCCCGACGAGCTGGTGGTGCCCGACGAGGTGGTCGTGGGCGGAGAGGAGGTGGTCCCCAGCAAGGGGGCTTTGAGGCTCATGCTGATGATGTTGCTGCTGATATGGCAGGTGGTCCCCAGCAAGGGGGCTTTGAGGCTCCTGCTGATGATGTTGCTGCTGATATGGCAGGTGGCATGCATGAGATGGACATGCCGTCTTACAGCCTTGGAGTTTATCGCACTCCAGTGCCATCGCAGGTGACCCCATCGGGTCAATTATTGATTACGGGCTCGGATATTCAAGGAGTGGATTGGGGTAGATACTTCCCAGGCCCGTCTACCACTGATGGCGATCGACTGACCCGAGATTTTTATAGTGGGCGCCGACTGAGTTATGGCTCCACATCACATGCGCAGGTATGATTTTATTAGTATTGAATTTGAATTTGTTTTAACTGTAACTTATTTATTTTCTTTAACTTTGTTAATTTCATTTATAAGGCTTCATGCGATGCTGCGACAGATGACTACATTCAGGATCCAGACACGATGATGGTAAGACAACATAAATTGTTGTGAATTGTTATGTAGTTTTCTATACTAAGTTTCATATTATTATGTAGGCCTCTACTGGACTTGACAGCACCACCGTTACATGTCATCCTGCGCCGCATCCGGTTATAAATAGACGACTTGATGATGATGATCCTGATAGCGTACCCGGGCGGGAGGGGATGCGCCTCAGGCCAGCGGCTGCATTGAGACACACCGGATGCAGGATACATTGATTCGGCCTTCCTTTCTATTTTTATTTTGTGTAAATAATATTTTTGTATACATTAACAACAATATTTAATCGAATATGCCCATTACTTTTTTTTGTTCTCCATTCGTTTGATAGTTTCATATAACAACACAAGCACTTAAACTTAACTTCCACTTCAACTAAAATAAAATTTACTACACCAAACAAGGAAAACATTACAACAACACAAACACAAACATAGCAGGCCAACATAATGAAAATACATGAAATATGAAAAATACACTAAACACATACATGCCAATGTTTAGCCCCGGTTGCCATTTATTCTCCGCTCCAACCACTTAAATCATTCTGCCAGTTGTTCTTTTTCTTCTTCTACCTCTTTCAGTTTCGCCTTCGCCTCCGCAAGTTTCCGTTTATAATTTTTTTACGATCCTTTTGTGCTTGACAATTCCATTGTGCTTTCCATTTTTCTTCTCCCACCTCTTTTAGTTTCGCCCTCATGTCTGCAATAATTCTATCGCTTTCTCTTTGTGTTTCTAGTTGGCGTGAACACATATTATGAAGAAATTGCAGTTGTTCTCTGTAGCATTCCTGATAACATGGTTCATCAACCCATTCCTCCAATTCACAAATAGGTTCGCCGGGAACCTTGTAAAACTGGTTCATACAGTGCCAGTAGCGGCGTCCAACTTCACCACCGTCCCAACATTTTTGCATCATGCATGCTTTTCCACAGTAGCACTTTGGTGGACGAAGAGGTTGAGCCATTTAATGAAATATTTGCTTTTAGTAAAAAAAACTTACTTTTAATGAAATATTTGCTTTTAGTAATTTTTGAGCACACAAAATAACTACAATGAGCCCGTTATTTATAGGCGAGACAACACACACATAACGCCATGTATAATGGCGCTATATTTTGCGTGTTAAA